TCTAGGGGCGCCCGACCCGCCCGGCTACTGCCCCCCCGGGCCAAGCGCAAGCCTGGAAAGGGGCGCGCCCTCGCCGTTGCTTCGCGTACCTGTCCCCCGGGTCGGCCCAATCGTCCCAGCAAACGCCCCGTCCTAAACAAAGTACACACGGCTCTCCCCGGCTAGACGTAGCAAGCTGGAGGCTAGCTCCTCCTGTCATCACATCCAGTAGGGAGAAAAAAAAAGGATACATATATATAATATGCGCTAGACGCCCGTCCCCCGTTCTGTCTTTAAGTTCTGTGACTGCTCTGATTTCTCTCTCACACACCCTCATCTGGCAGCGCTCACCCCCCGGCCCGCCCTCCTCTCTCGTCGCCTCGGCTCTCTCCCTTGTTCCTTCCTATTCCTGTCGCGGCCGGCGCGCCTTCCTCCCTTGCGATACATTGATTTTTGTTCGGGCCTGCCATCGTCCCTGTTCTGTGTCACATCCGTTCTGCCTGCGCCTCCTTGCCTGCATTTCTCTCGACTAGAGCTCCGCCGATCTGTAATATTCTTGCTTTACTCGCCACATTTCCGATCGTCGCCAAATCTCGATAAACTCAGCCTGCAGGCGCTTTTCCTTCCGTCGCTGCCGGCTGCAGTCTGTACATTAGCGACCTGTCGAACATCTCCCTGCCGGCTCCACCTCCGCCGCCCTCTGCAGTCTATTGGGAGCGTCACATTCCTGCCTGAACGCCGAGAATCTCCAGGGTGCCACCCTAATTACGGGGGTGTGGGAGTCACTTCAAAAAGATCGCCTCGCCCGATCTGGCCCTGCACCTGCACCTACACCTTCGCCTGCATCTGTCGGCCTTGTCGGGAACCCCTGTGCGTTCCAGTGACAGTTCGCCAGCTGGCTCGGAATTGTCATAGGCCGATTTTCGTGGATTGAGATTGGGATTTCTTTTTTTTTTTTGGTTTCCTTTTTTTTTCTTTGTGTGTATCTCAACGTACATATTAAGGTGAGTCCCCCATTCCTGGAGTGTGTGTGTGTGTGTTGGTCCCAGTGGCAGTGGCTTCCTACATAACACACTGGCCTCCCCCTCCATCTATCCTGTTTTCGAGTTTGCAAGGGATACCAGCAAGAACAGCAGCTGACAATGGGCGTTCTCAAGGCTTCCACCATGATACTCAGAGATCTGTCGGCGACCAACATGGGCCGTGGTGCCTATGATACCACTGGGGTCAAGAAGCCCGGTGCTCCTCCGCCTCCTCCAACTCCCCGGTAAACACGTCCGGAGTCTTCGCAACCAACAATGGTTTCGAAAACCTGCCTACTGCGATCGACGCCTACGACTTGACTTTCCAGTTCGGACTGCTCTGTTATCTACTCTACCTATACCCACCGACTCGTAATGGGAGTGGTCCGGACGAGAGTGTCGAGGCTCATCGTATCCGGTACGTTTTCACCTACATACTCTGCTCTCTGTCTCTGGATTCTGTTCACTGACCTGATCACCAGGCACCTGGGAATTCTTTGTCTTCTGCCTTCTGTGATCATGGACTAGTCTTCGATTTTACCACTACCGCTTTTAATAACCGTCGTTCCTCATCCTTTCTGTCTCAGCATCATCGAATTTTCGGTCATGTTTCGGCGAATTTTCTTTGCGATCCGATCATCCCGTTCTTTCGTGTTCTTGGTTCACGATAACTTTCGACTACTCGGCAAAAGTGATTTTGTGTGGGCTATCTGCTTTTCTTCGGCGTTCTGAATATAGATGGGCGGATATCATGGGAAAACTTGGGAGATACCACAGGATCTAGACTTTTCGACCTCGCGGTCACCTTGTTTCTTTATCATCTTTTTTCTCTTTGCATTTTTTTTCTTTTTCAGACTGATACTCCTGTACAATATTCGACAATGTGGCAAAGAAGGGGACCCTCGACGCTCCTTCACCTCAAGGCGTCCGGGACTGGGGCCGAGGACATGCATCACGAAACAAGATCTGATTACAGCTCTGGGGGCCGGTCCCCTTGTCTACTTAGTTACCTATTAGATACTAATCTCTTAATGAATCTTTTCAAATGCGAAATTCGATATACTTAGACACCATTCTTTCAATTTTTAGAATACGAAATCCTTGTGTATTGAGCATCACTCAAAGGAATAATGTAGGATGAGCTACTGTGTAAAATCTGAGAGCAGATAAAAGTGAAAAGCTCGCAATTTACGTCATGTCGACCTTGTCTACAGATCTTGGCATCCGAATGGCATTTTAGGAAAACCGAAGCGCTGCACTGGTCAGATGTTCTGAACGCAATGTGAAATGACCATCAGACCGCAATCTACCGGGAATCTATATCAGCCAAATTTCCTCACATACGATCAATTCATGAAGCAAAACTTGCGATTTCTCGCGTCTTGTTCGCGGACCGGAGTGCGGAACGTCCCGTGACCTGCAGGACTCGGAGCGGATCCGCTCAGCACCGCAGCACGCTAAACCCCGTTCAGCTGAACGTCCATAACGACGTACGTCGGCTCCGTCCCGAAGGTGACGGCTGTTGCTGTCTGCTTCTCCTTCAGCATCCGGCATCAGGATCACATTCGCATTCGTATTTCCTCTGGTGTCAGCAAGTACCAGCCCTCCCGGAGCAAATCCCTGCTTGCGGGTTGAGACACATTTGTTGTTCGCCTTATTGTGCCACCCTCCCCGATACCCTTGTGTTTCAGCTCGCTGCCTACATTTCCTCCGCAGCCGAAACCTGAACAAGGTCTATTCGTCTCGACACATCCTCTTTACGAACCGCCCTTTCCTTCTTCGCAAAGCAAGTCTCTGATCCGTGGACGAGGCCCCCCATCCTCTCAAGGGCTCCTACCAGCATGTCAGACTCAGCCGCAAATGCTCCGAAGCCGAGCAGTAGCGTAAAGCTCGTGCTACTTGGAGAGGCCGCCGTCGGGAAGGTACGATATCCACATGCGGTTTTTCTATGCTGGACAAACCGTCTGTGTCGGAAGATTACTGACAAGTGGTGTTGTGGTAGTCGTCGCTAGTACTTCGCTTCGTGAACAATGATTTCCAGGAGAACAAGGAACCTACGATAGGCGGTATGGATTTTTCTTCTCCTATCCTAAGCCTTTTTTTTCCCGTCTCTGACAGTGCATTATATTATCGTCTTATCTTGGTTTGATACAGTTCTTTTCGACAAATAGTTCTCAAAGTTTGTTCTTCTGGCGTGGACTAATTTGTTACTGGATATAGCTGCCTTCCTGACGCAGAAATGCTCCCTACCAACGCGCACCATCAAGTTCGAGATCTGGGACACTGCCGGACAGGAACGCTTTGCCTCTCTTGCTCCCATGTATTACCGTAATGCCCAAGCCGCACTGGTGGTATACGATATCACGAAGCCGTCTTCTCTGGTCAAGGCCAAGCACTGGGTGGCAGAACTGCAACGGCAAGCAAGCCCAGGCATTGTCATTGCCCTAGTCGGTAACAAGCTGGATCTGACGAGCGACGGGAGCGGTGGGAATGCCGATTCCTCTGCTGGTGCTGAAGCCGAGGCGCCGGGAGCCGACGCTGCAGCCGAGGACGAGGCAGGCGAGAACAACAATGAAGAGCAGGAAAACGCGACGACGGACGCGAGGAAGGTCTCGACTCGTGAGGCAAGCAGCTATGCAGAGGAAGAAGGGTTGCTGTTCTTCGAGACAAGTGCGAAGACGGGTGTCAACGTGACCGAGGTCTTCACTGCCATTGCGAACGCCATTCCCGAGAGCAGCCTCAAGGGAGCTCGAGGTGCTGGTGCCGGTCAGAGCGGCCTGGGTGCCGGAAGACCGGGAGAAGAGTCGAGGGTCAACTTGGGAGACCGGAGCGTCGAAGCCGCAAAGGACGGCTGCGCTTGTTGATTATGAGCTCTCTTACTGTTTGCTTTCGCTTAATGTTGGCTTTGTTCTTTGTCATTCTCTTCTCAGGGGGTCTCGTCACCGGCGTATCGTGTCAAGTTCATTCGCTCTTCATATATCTAGTTTCTTGCCTGTCTATTGTATGGTTGCTTTTGAGCTATGTGCTTCATCTGTTAATAGCTACCTGAAGGATTGTTCTAATCGACTCAATCTACTTGATCATATCGATCTAAGTAGTGTAGTATAGACCTGCTTCCTATTGATATGACCAACACTGAACTTACCATCACTAAGAGACTACCTACCTAGGTAGGCAGGTTGCTTCGAGGTATATCTGCATGCTTAGGCGGATTACTGGCCAATTGATTATCTCAAGGGCAACAAGGTCACGGGACACGCCATACCCGATCGGGCACGGGCTAGCCGACCAGGGCTAAGCGGCACACCCTAAGCGAGCGCGCGCCAAGATTGGCGATCCCACGAAAGCGACCGCACACAGCCCGGAGTTTGCGGCCTCCGTGTGTGTGCTTTCTCGAGTGCCAGTCTTGACATCCAACTTCCTCCTCCCTTTCCCTCCTTTTCGCCTTCACGATAAGCGACAAGGAAGAGCAGCAGCCGCACGCAGGATCAGCACTACCCCTGTCTGCACCGCGCAATCATGGCTGCCCTCAACAAGATCGCCGCCAACTCCCCGTCGAGACAGAGCCCCTCCGAGCTGGAGACCTCGCTCGCCAATGCTCTGTACGACCTCGAGAACAACACCCAGGACCTGAAGACGTCTCTGCGCCCTCTGCAGTTCGTGTCGGCTCGTGAGGTAAGACGCTAGCATATTCCGTTCGTCTGTTTTTACTTGTCAATTGGAAGGACGAGTTGTACTGTTCGGAGAAATATCAAAAGGGTCGGAATATTTTGTGTGAAGGAAAAATAACAATTGTGTCGGCGTGATATGTTATGAACACATGCGAGGAGCGGCTCTGAGACTGCAATTATTGTTGGATCTTCTCGAGGAGCATTGCTGACCAGAATTTACATTACAGATCGAGGTCGGCCACGGCAAGAAGGCCATTGCCATCTTCGTCCCGGTGCCTCTGCTCCAGGGCTTCCACAAGATCCAGCAGCGGTATGCCTACGACCTAGTCCATCTACATCGTTGGAGTGTCTAGTCAACTCAACAAGACTAACGCTGTTTTTTTTTTCGACAGCCTCACCCGTGAGCTCGAGAAGAAGTTCTCCGACCGCCATGTGATCATCATTGCCTCGCGCCGCATCCTGCCGCGTCCCAAGCGCTCGACGCGCTCCCGCACCAAGCTCACCCAGAAGCGCCCGCGCTCGCGCACTCTGACCGCGGTCCACGACGCCATTCTGTCCGACATCGTCTACCCGGTGGAGATTGTTGGCAAGCGTGTTCGCACCAAGGAGGACGGCAGCAAGGTCATCAAGGTCATCCTGGACGAGAAGGAGCGTGGTGGTGTCGACCACCGTCTGGACGCCTACGCAGAGGTCTACCGGCGGTTGACGGGTCGCAACGTGGTGTTCGAGTTCCCTCAGAGCAGCATTTCCGATTACTAGAAAGAGAGAAAGAAAGGGAGGAATATGATTTGAAATGAAAAAAAAATTCTTTTTTCCCTTCCTCTTGTTTTTTTCTTTTCCGGAATGAGGGAGCCTAGGAGCCTGTTTATGTCAAAGATTTTTGCTGCTTTCCACTCGTGGGTATGAAGTGGTTGTCAACTAGAACTGTAAATGGAGGGCTGGTTTTTTATGACACACAACAGACAAAAATCAGGAAGGAAGGAGGAGGTTTAAAAAGGGATGGATGCGGTGCAATAATGAAACAAATCAAATCAAACCAAACGGGTTGATACATAGGTATCAGCAATCAGCCGACCAACTCACTGACAACTTCCATTGCGCAAGCATGTCATGTCATCATGTCATGTGCCCATGATATGATCCATGACCATGATCATGATCATGCTTGACTTGACAATATGAATATCAACATCACTATCAATGCCAATTCAATAATGTCAATATCAATTCAATAATATTGATATCAATCAGTTCAAGACTAACTTAGTTGAACCTGTCACGTACTAACCTTAGGTATCTAACCCTAACTAAGCTCTATTCAGAACGTATCGTAGACGCGAGGTATGGTATATCTTATCGTATCGTATCGTATATATATAAAATAAAGATCTTTAGCGCTGAAAAATCTATTCTTAGGGCTATATATAGTTTTATTCTATACTTATGACTGTTATAATTAATTACGTATGGTATAGGTATAGGTATAGGTATATATCACTGCAACTATGTACATACTACTACTACTGTACTGTACATTAGATACTGGTATTTTATGTACGTACGTATGTATATACATCTAAACAGAGAGAGAGAACGAGAAAAAAAAAGAAAAGGTCGAAGACTACTACGCCTACATATATATACCAATCATATATCATATCATTATTATTATCTCCAGTGACTCCTTACTACACCACACCCCAGCATCACGCGCAATCCTCCCCACGCCCAGAACCATCCAGTACGCCAGCTCCCGCTTGACGAGTTCAGGTTTCTGTCCCGCTCTTTCCCTTTCCCTTTCTCTCTCCCTTTCTCGTGACGATGTTTTCTGCGGATGATCCTGATCCTGGTCCTGGTCCATCATCTGGTTCTCCGTGTCCCATTCTAAGCGCACAAAGACGGGGATTTCGAGGACGTCTTCGTCTTCTCGGAGAGTATCATCTTTGTCCTTGTCGGAGGAGGAGTTGACATCGTCGTCGTCGTCGTCGTCGTCGTCGTCGGATGATGATCCAGGTAATGTCCCCGGTACGACTTCTAGCACTACCGTCGTCCAGTTCCGCCCTTTGTCCCAGACTTTGCCTGCTTCGGCGACTTTTTCGTATCCGCTGGTAGCAGCAGCAGCAGCAGAGACACTTACTCCCGAGCGGGATGTTCCGCTTGTTGTGCTACTACTGGGTGCTGGTGCAGGAGGGGCTTGTAATGCTTCGTCCCAGACGTCGCTGTTCGCGCCGAGGTCGAATTGTGGACAGAGGATCGTCACTTTGGACGCTACTCGACCCGGGGTTAGGGATGGTGTGGCTAGTGTCACGCGCACGGGGTCGGAACATGTGGTTCTTCAGCGTGAGGAGGTACTGGATGGGTCGGTTAGGGGGCAGCGCGTCCAGGTTTGGTGGTGGTGGTGGTGGTGGTGGTTGCGGTGTCGTAGTCGTAGATATCCCAGGCGTCGTCTGCCCTGGATACGGAGACGGAGACGGAGGAGTCGGCACCAGAGGCCGCAGCGTAGGCAGCGGGATGTAGCTCAGCGCGATGAGGCGGATGCGGAACCGCGTCGACGCGGGCTTGAATTCCGGCTTGACGAGGATGTGTTTGCACGACTTGCACCGCTTGGAGCGTTTCGTCCGCAGCAGGACGGGCAGCGGGCGGAGGTCCTCGACGAACCGCGCGTCAGGGGACTGGAACGCCCGCTGCTCCATCGACAGCATCCCGTCCCAGCCGCAGTCCTCCGAGGCCATCTTTTCGATAATCGCCCGCTCGCTCTCCGGAGAGGCGATTTTGAGTCCCTCTGCGGCCGTGAGCGCTTCGCGCATCACTGGAGGTTTCGACTTGGCCTTTTTGGCGCCCCCGCCGTACAGGCCGCTCAGCGAGGAGGATGTGTACAGCGACATGATGCGATTCAATGCGCTGGGCGAGGAGAACGCTGCTCCAAAGTCCGTTCCCAGAGGGTCCGTGGCAGAAACAGAAGTCTCCTCGATCTGTTTCTGGTAGAACCGTTTCAGGGCGGCAAATCTCGAATTGGGATCGAGCGTCGACTGCCCTTCTTCTTCTTCCGGTATTTGAGAATTAGAAGCAGTGTCCTGCTCTTTCTGCTCCTCCTCCCAGACGGGGCTGTCGAGTTTGGCTGACGTGAAGCTCGACAGCGGCGACTTAAGGTCGGGCCCGGCTGTCGCGCCGGATTCTTCATAGAACTTGGCGAGCTGGGCGCAGATGTTGGTCGGCTTGTGGAACTTGATTCCGATGTCCAGGGTCGTCCACATGCAGTACCCGCAAGCCAGGATCCAGGGACCCTGTTGCGCGGCATTCTCGGTCGTGTTCTCGAGAGTCGTTACCGCCAGCGGTGCGGTGCAGATGGGACAGTTGAAGCAATTGCGCGCACATCTAGAAGACGACAATCATTAGACTAGACGTCAAGTCTCCGAGAAAAAAAAAACCTCCTGAGGTATAGGTAACAAACCGATTCCCTTCACTGCGGACCATACTACTCGGCGTCTCGAACAGACAGTTCGGACAGTACCAGCACACGATCTCTTCCGTGATACATCGCGGACATTTTATCTGATGGCAGTCCTCGCAGTAGAGGAGCTGTTCGGGGGGGTATAGCGAGAAGTTGGCGCGCGGCGATCGGGGGTCAAAGGTCTGCTCTTCCTCGTCGTCCTCCTCGTCCAGGTCCTGCTGCTCTTCTCTTCGCCGCTCTTCATCCGGCTGGCCGGGGGAGGTCTTCTTGCTCGACAGATCCCTCGATGCCCGTTTCGCAGCGGGTTCGGTGACTCGGGTCTCCGCGCAGGGACACGATATGTAGGTGTAGGGGAATGGACGCGACATGGTGTAGCGTGAAAATAAAGCCAGTAAAACTCCGATTCCAGGCTGGTGCTAAGATCGCATCATTCTTGCAGACCAGTGTCACTTCTGTAGATATCCTGCAGGTAAATGCGGTCAGTTATTTACGCGACAATTGAACGTTCAGAGGTGATTGACAACACGCGCGGGTCGTGACCTCTGCAACTCGCGGTATAGCGATCTAAAACCCCAGTCAAAAATTAGAGACGACAGAGACGTACAGTACAAGGTATTTTGTACCAACCAGTGGCCACCACAGCTAGTGGTCCGGACTGCGGAGTGGAAGCTCCGTACTCCGTATGTAGCCCGCGGGGCGGAGAAAACTGTCGCGGAAGTTTACAGGCCAATGTGGAGCTGCGATAAAATAAATCATCTTGAATTGACCTGAGCTTCCGCGCGAACAATTCATTGCTTCAGAACGGACTTCTCTCCCGGTGCAAACATTTGTCGACGGGAGAATAATCTACCAAAGAAAAGAATAATAAAATGCATTGAATATCTTTTTGTCTTATACCATGTCCCTCCGTCCTTTCATCTCGAGATTCGCATTCGCATGCCGCGGGCGGCCGTATGCTGCAACAGCAACTGCATCTGCTGCATCTGCTGCAAGATCGAGAACCTACGCAGTCCAAAGCCCTGGGAAACCAAATCTGGAAGTCTTCAACCGCAAAGTGAAGCATCTGCAGAAGGACAGGGCGGCGCGGGACGTGGAGCTGAGCCGGAAGGTGGACTATCTCAAGGATGAGGTAGCGACGAGGTTATGTGAGCGATTGTTGGTATGTGCCTTAAAGCAATCTCTCTCTTCTTTTTTTTTTCTTTGCTCTAATTGAAGTATCTGGTTTATTTTCTGACTCGACTCATCTAGGACATCAAACGAACCTTCTCCCATGTCCTCGATCTCGGCGCCAACAGCTGCAACATCGCCCGCGCCCTGACAGCTCCCAACCCGGACCCAGCGGTCGAGACGTCGCCGCCACTGGCGACGCGTATCTCGAAGCTGACGTGCGTCGAGACGTCGCACGCGCTGCTGCACCGCGACGCCGACCTGCCGTTCAACCGCGAGCTGGACATCCAGCGGGACGTGGTGGCGGACCTGGAGACGCTGCCGTACGCGCCCGAGACGTTCGACCTGGTACTCTCGTCGCTGTCCATCCACTGGATCAACGACCTGCCCTCGCTGCTCGCGCAGGTGAACTCGATCCTCAAACCGGACTGTCCGTTCCTGGCGGCCATGTTCGGCGGCGACACCCTCTTCGAGCTGCGCTCGTCGCTGCAGCTGG